GTATTTATTCGGGGGGGGGGGGCGCGTCGGTTTGTTCTCCCTTTAGGGGCATTGTTAGTGTTGTTGTTCAATTCTCGTTCTGTTAAATGAAAAAAAATGGGGCACACACGGGGGGAGTCAAGGGGTAAAGATTCATTTGTTGAAATTGTTGCAGCCGGGACGGCTGCGAGCTATGCGGGGGGGAGTGATGTAGGGATGTTGGAGAGAGGGCCGTTATGCATGGCAGCCTATGGGAAAGAAACACAGTGGGCGGAGCTACGTGTGTGCACAGGGAGATGCCCTCTGCGACGTCCGAGCCAGACACCCTGGGGGGGGGCTGGTTCGGCGTTACGATCCCCCGGGGCCCCACCCCTCAAGGAGGGTTGGGTATAAAAAGGGGTCGTTATATGGGCTGAGTCAGTTATGTTATAGTTAAGCTAAGAAGTCGGAAGACGTCGTAGCTAGAGCCCTGGACTCCCCCTGATCGCCGCCCTTATCAGGGCCCCACGGGATCAGGCTCGAGCCAGTGGCGTGGTCCCGTGAACCAGAGCCAGTGCTCTGGGACTCCGGGTACCGAGCCCGATTACCAGTGTCGGGCCAGACAGCCTCCCCTAGCTCTTAGTGGAGGACTCAGGGGATAGGCTATGGATAGCTAGGGGTATTCCCTGAGTTATACGGGTGAGGGGGCCGCTACCCCCTCTAGGGCTGTCCTGTACTGGCAACTTGTTAAATAAATATACGTGTGCCTCAACTCCGTTGTCAAGCGTCCTCGACGGGTACTTCACTTGTGTAAGTCTTATTGTGTTCCCGTATGTTATTGTATACGTGTGTGTACATGTGTAATATTGTTTATCTGTGTGTATCTGTGTGTATCTGTGTATGTCTGTGTATCTGTTAGCGTGTGCTATTGTAGGGAGAGGTGGCGCAGTGGTTAGCACACTGCACTTCGAAACCCAGTGACCCGAGTTCGATTCCCACTCTCATCCAAAATCGGTGACGAATATCTGAACCGATACTGGGCCTCCACTGGGTAGACTCAGCGTTAAAATGACTACCTGCAGGTGCCCGAGTAGAAACATCAGCTTGGGGGAGACAAAGGCCTTGACAGTAGCTCCGCTAACAGCACTTGCCCCAACAGTCTATTAAAGGCTACACTTTGGGTTCATTTTGTTCCACATTTACTCGAATCAAAGCAAGCCATGTGGTTAGCTAAACTATTTTGTTAATACAAACACAGCATTAAAAACAAAATGCACATGATCAGCCAAGTGCTTGGATGATGTTGCCTCGAAGCTATTAAAACGACACCACCCATAGGTAAAAAAATGCGCTTATCGAAGCATCTCGTATATACGACACGCGCACATTCACGGTCTGTAGTTTCACCGGAGTTTTAAGTTACCCGCGTCTCCGACTACGGACCACGTCACCCCACAATGCGCAAGATCTCGGCTGACCTCTCAAGCTACGCAGGGGTTGAGCCTGGAGATAGCTACTCGAGGATGGGCGACGACCACCACCAACCACCACCACACGCACGGCAGGTTGCCTATCAAAGGGCTGCTGTGTGGCTTTGGTGCATACGCCGGCAGCAGAGCGAGTGAAGTACAATCTGTTATATTGTGCTGTGCTGCCACATCGACGCTCCCCAGGGCTTCAATTCACACTGACCAATGCGATAAGGTATGGTCAAGCTACCTGCCGGTCCACCACTCCGTGGCGTTCGGGGAGCGGGGAGGGTGAACCTTATCCAGCAGTGGATTGACAAAAGAGCTGTACATGCACCGCCGATTAGCATGCATGGCTGCGTACGGTGCGAAAGAAGTTCGACATACATGCAGCGTGTGTGCGGCACTCACGGAGTGCCTGTGAATAGAACTTGATTTGAAGCTTTCGTGACTGCAGGAATCCAGACTCTTTGGTTCTTTCGGTAAAGTCACGTGGGTAGAAAATAATAGATCACGACGTTTCGATCGCCACACAAGCAACCTTCTTCAGGTGGGAGAAACAGGCTTAAGGTTTTTTTTTAACATTGTTCTTATGGTATTTACATTGTTTTATGGGTATTTTTAACTTGGCCTTAGGATTTTTCTTTACAATGTCCTAATGGGTTTTGACATTATTCTTATGGGTTTTATAAACATTGTTCTTATGGGTTTATTTAACATTGTTATGCGGTTATTCAACATTGTTCTTATGGGTTTTTTAAACATCATTCTTATGGGGTTATTTAACATTGTTATGGGGTTATTCAACACTGTTCTTATGGGTTTTTTAAACATTGTTCTTATGGGTTTATTTAACATTGTTATGGGGTTATTCAACATTGTTCTTATGGGTTTTTTACATTATGGGGTTATTTTAAATTGTTCTTATGGGGTTATTTTACATTGTTATCATGGGTTTTTTTGCTGTGGGAGGGAACTGGGAGATCTCAGAGGAAAAACACCCATGGCAGAACAGGGGAGAACATACAAACTCAACACAGAGAGGAGCCTGAGCCCTGGAATCGAACCCATGTGCTTCTTACTGCGAGGCCCGAGCATTGCCACTGCGCCAGCACCCAGAATAATGCCTGCGTTATCGTAAAATCTGAGACATGTCCCGTGCGTGCATGAGTAACGATGCAGTTAATCTGTTCGTGACTGCGTACGTGTCGTGTGCATGTGCAAGTGAATCAACACGTCAATTATGGCGTTATTCTGCGTGTTAGGCTGTGTATACAAATTCGGGAGCGGTGGCGCAGTGCTTAGCGCACCGCGCTACGAGCTCGACGACCTGAGGTCAATTCCCGCAGCCATGGCCAATAACAGTGGCGAACATCTGAACCGGCCCTGGTCCTGCCCGAGGTTGACCTGGGTACGGTGTGTAAACATGTAAACTGGAGGGGTGACAAAGGTGGCTGGGCGTAGTGCGAGCGACACCAGCAGCAGCAGCCCACTTTCTTGACAGGTGCTGCTCGCGAACAACACTTGCCCCATTAGTCTGTGTGGCTACACAGGGGGTGACCGTGGCGGGCTTTGTCTCTGTGTGTGTCTGTGTCAGTCTCTCGAAAGGAATTCCACTCCACCTGAAGAGGGTTTACTCACTGTAAAGGTCACGGAGTGACAAACGTGTGTGCTCTGACTTTAAAACGAAGCCAACCCAGCGGGCGCGATCTCCAGATCTACCAATCATTCCTGCATGTGTGCACGTCCTCTGCCGCGACTGATTAAATGGGTTCAATTCAAATTAAATAAAAACGCCGACATTAAACCGTGGTTCTCCGAAGCCGTCATTAATCATAAATAATTCTCCGTTAATTCACGAGAAGGCTCAGAAAGTCACAAGGCTCCTTCTCAAGACGATGCTTCACCACCTTTTTGCCGGATTTCGTTTTGGCATTGGCCCGGAGAAAACCCACAGACGCGCGCGTGGGGAGCGCACCGGGTATGACGAACCCACCGTCGCGGTACTGCCATCCGGCGACGTAGGTTCAACCGGGACACGCGTGCAGGATGAAGGCGGGCTCTCGAGACGGACGACCAAGGGGGAAGGCCTCAAGTCAGATGTTGGCGACGATGGGGCCGTGAGAGTGGCTCTCTGAAGGGCATTTCAACTGTGTCACAAGGGGAAGACCTGAAGCCAGATGGCGGTGAGGCTCTGTTCACAAAAATATACAATGTATTAACATTAAGACAATCGTGGAGCGTCGTCAATGTGTAAAGTTAGCACGTATATATATAGGCCTCCTTCCCATAAACATTTGTTTCTCCACATCCAAGGCAGCTCACACATGTTTGAGGATCGCACAAATGCTGTGAAATTCCCTTCCCATTGGCATCGAGGTGCAATGCCCTGGCTTTCCAGGAAACGGTACAGCAAACGTGGACTAATCCCCATCTGTCCCTTCTGCTGCATGGGATACTGTTGCCCCCTTGCACGCGTGGGGTTTTTTTCCAGGTGTTCCGGTTTACTCCCACGTGTATATACTCATTAATTGGCCAATAACAGCTTAAAATATAAAGGATGCCAGAGCTTGGGGGAGTGGGGGATTTGGCACCTGGCAGCTGCCATTCCCGCTTGTCTGTGGCTTCTCATCGTGCCTCTCGAGTCATTCTCGTCCAGAGCGAGCGAACAACTGCGCAGTGCGTTACGAAGGTGAAGTTAATAATATTCTTAAGATCTATCAACTTGCTACACGAGAAAACCAGGCTTCGTCACAGGCAGCCGAAACCCAGATTGAAGCCCAGGTTGTCAGCGGTGCACGCAGGGGGTCACAGATCCTTCGTCACAGCTCGGCTCTGGCATGGGACAGCTTGGGTTAGAGCCGCTCAGTTGCTTCCAAAGACGCACAAGTGAGCAGCTCAGCTGTGGCTTGGCTCAAGATGGCCTCTTGGAAATCCTGATGATGGCCAGGGCCAGCAGTGTGCATACAGGCCTCAACGTGTCCCAACTCTCGAGTCAACCGGACAGAAATAGTAACAATGATGCAATTCGTAACGTGCAAAATAATTCCCAGATGCGAGTGACCGTAACTCCCAAGGCGCGGAGTCAAGCTCAGTGTCACTCAAAAGCCGGGGCGAAGGAAGTGAGGGTGGGGGGGGCCTGTAAGTGTCTCTTAGAAGTCGGTGCAGAGGCAATCCTGCTGCTGTGAAGGTGCAGCGGGATGGTGGCCGCCACGCGTCCCAGAGGGGGCTGTCACAGAGAGAGGACACCTGGTCCTTGCTGACGAGAGGAGGTTGTCGTGAGTTCTACCGTGAGTTGTCGTGCAGGATGACGGGAGCCAAGAGAGATACGGGGGCTGCCACTGGAGAATCGATGCCCAGCAGTGACAACGTTGGTCTTTGGTGTAGAGAGGAGGCTATGAGTCACGCTGCTGACACTTCTACTGTTTGACGGCGTAAAATAAAACAAACCCCAACGTTGGTGTTGCCACACAAAAGAAAATACTATTTTAGTTACGCAATCCTTCCGGGCCAGTGCTTGCCAGCAGCACTGTTACCCAAACCCCATCAAGACACGGGATCGTACGACGCTGCTGCTGCTGTTGAAGTTTATTGTGAATTGTCAGGGCAGAGATGAACAAAAATGGTTCGCTCAGTCTATTAATTAAAAAATAAACGTTTAAAAAATTCTTGCAATGTTGTCTTGAGTGTAGAAATGCACACACACACACACCCCAACACACATGCGTAGCTGTGCGCAAAAAACACACACACACAAACATGTATACACACACCCAACACATGTATACCCACGCACACAACAAATATTCTCAGCATAGCCTTGTTGGGGCAGGTTCTGTTAGCGAGCACCTATTAAGGCCTGCGGGGCACTGGTAGGAGTGGTGTAGTCAGACCTAGCCACCTTCATCTCCCGGTGCTGATGTTTACAGACCACACCGTGTACTCACTTGAGGCTAAGTAAACCTAGGGCAGGTTCAGATAATTGCCACTCATGTTCGCTGTGGCCGGAAAATGAACTCGAGTAACAAAGGTGGCACAGTTGCGCTGACCACTATACGACCCCCTCCCCATATACACACACAAAAACCTTATATAAACACACACACTACACAGATGCCAACACAAAACACGCACAGATTCGCTCCATTATCCTCACATTTACACCAACTCATTGACACACACACCCTCACGCACAGATTCACTCCATCATTCTCACGCATGCACACACACACAATGACCCCCCCCCCGTAGCCTTTTTCCAGACTGTTGGGGAAGTGCTGTTAGCGAGCACCTATCAAGGCCGGCATGGCACACTAGGGGGTGGGTAGCCAACATCGCACCCGGCCGCCTCTGTCTCCCCAGTGGTGATGTTTACAACACACCACACCAGCTACTCATTTGAGGCTGAGTCGTACTAGGGGAGGCAACAGACCGGTTCAGATAATCGCCACTGTTGGTGGCCGTGAGCGGAAATCGAACTCGGGTCGCCAGATTCGGAGAGCAGTGCGCTAACCGCTAAACTACCGCTCACCACATACACACGCACACACACTCCTCTTAATACACTCGCACCATTGCTCAGAGCTCCCCCGCCTCCTCCTCTTCGCGACGGATCTCGTCTATGAGTCGCTGTCGCTCCGCCGCCTGACGCATCCTCATCATCACCACCGACTCAAAGTCTCGCTCCACGGGCTGCCGGAGACAAGGGGGACAAAGGGACACAGGAACACAAACACATGGAGACATGGGGGCACGGGGTCAAACTGGCTGTGTGTAATCCCAATTGAGTAATTTGCAGTAAAAATGTTCAGCATGAGGTTGTTTTTTGCCGATACCAGTTTCATTGTATGGGTTATTGTTTTTTTGTTACGGGAGCAAACCGGAGAAACCCGGGAGGAAACTAATGCAGAAAAGCGGGAGAGAGAGAAAACACACAAACTCCACTCGCTCACATTCTGCACAACAGGGGGAACAACATACAAGCTTCACACAGAAAGGCACCCGAACCGGAGATCGAACCCAGTCGCCATCTTGCCGCAAGTCACAAGCGGTGACCACTGCGTCAGCCACCCTGCCGCCATCGAAACCCGGCTGGGCAGCGTGAATAACCGAAGCAGTAAGAAGGGCAGCAGCGCAGCTCACCGGGGCGGTGCTACTGGTGGGGCCGCAGGGAGGGCGGGAGGAGCTGGAGAAGCCAGGAGGACGGCCCTCCAGCCACGACACCGAGATGGGGTTCTGTGCAAGGCCCAGCTCGTTCCGTGCCGCCAAATCCTAGCGGGACGACGAAGGCGACGGGCACGGCGGTGTCACGGCGCGACGAGCCTCCCCTGCCACTGTGCGACGGCACCGCGGCGAGTTCAATGCAGCTACAGCGCGACCACAGAGCAGCTAACTCACAGAGTTACTCTATACAACATGGACATATGGCATATCACTCATGGAGAGGTACTCTATACAACATGGACAACCTAGGAGATAACTCATGCAGAGAGTTACTCAATACAGCATGAACACACAGTGGCTATCTCCCTGTCTCACTCAACACAGCACGACCACATAGCGTGTACATGTACAGCCCTTAGTTAGTCCACTGCTGGATGAGGGCTTCCCCACACCGTGTGCGTCGTCGGGGTTATTTCACCATACTTCACCACTCTGGTCAGGGAGCGTTGATGAAGGTGGACAGCCTAGACACGAAAGTATTGAAGTACGGCGCAACTATGGCTATCGCCTCTGCTGCCCACCACATAGCCGTACAGCAGCAATCCGGGCAGTATCCAGGCTCAACCCTTGCTTAGCTTCCGAGATCTGGCGATATTGGCGTGTGATTCGGTCACAGGCGACCACGTGGCAGTCATCTCGAAACAGAAGAATCTCACGGCGTGTTGCAAGTAACAGCATCGCGGCGCGGAATTTCGCTCGGCACAGCACCGCACAGGGTAACACAGCATCGCACGGGGTAACACAGCGTGCCACAGCAGACAGCATCTCACCGCGCTCTTGGGTGAAGCAAACTCGACGATTGCCGATCCTTTCTTCTTGGCGGAGATGAGAAGGTTCATAACCTCACCGTACTGCGCGCCAATCACGAGCATCATCGTCAGTATCGTCATCGTCTTCATAATAATAATAAACATCTTCACCATCCTCATCAACAGAAAAATTATCACCATCATTATAAATAGCTTCAGCACTGTTATGAGACGGCCTGAAAAATAATTGAGCGCGTTTGGTATGAGCGCCATTCTTATAGCGCAAGGCGATCATCACGGAGAGACGCCGTGTGTCACAGGCACGGTCTGCTGTAGTTTTGTAGCTGGGAGTGATGTTGCTGCTGTGTGGAATCCCAACCGAGTTTATTTGCAGGTAAATTGCCGAATTTGCCAAAATTGAACCATTATGCCGGCACACAGCGGCCGACTAGTTTCGAATGACATCACGGGGATCTTTAATGTCTGCTGTGAAGCAGGCGGCGCTTATCTCATGGTCAGTAAAACCGCAATATTAACCAGGGGGGCCTGCCGGATTCCCATCTATGAACATCTGCAAAGAGCGGCGAAGGCGCCATCGCTGGGCCGTTTCACTACCCGCTGCACGACATGGGTCACACGTAGATAATTGGGGTGCCGCGGTGGCGAGATGTTAACTGCTTCGCCTGGTATACAGGAGGTCGTGGGTTCGATCCCGACCGACACCTGCTGTATATTTGGAGTTTGCGTGTCTTATCTCCATGGTCGCATAAAATTTTCCCTGGGTACTCCGGTTTTTCCAATCCACATTTAGTACCAACATGCGTCTAGATTATTTGGCTGCTATAAATCACGACGTGATAAGCCATTTCGCTGAGCTATCATTTGGGATGGCGAGGTCGCTTCTTAAAAAGCGCTATACAGCTCGGTGGGCCTTACCTGGCAAAATAAAAAACAGTTTAGTTTTATAGTTTAATTGATCTCCACGACTTCACAATCGTCACCCTCCCCCCAGCTGCCTGGCCGTGCGTTGCATCGCGAGCGGTCCAGCCACCACCCACCTTCTGAAAGATGACCATCAGCTGTTGCTCCGAGTATCCGCCGTTCGATTCGTCGTCCTTCTTGCTCTTCCATTTCACCTGGAAGGCAACAGCAGCACAAGCGACAGCATATACAGTTTATTTTCTTGTGTCGGTGTCGTTAAGAGTTTTATCATTGTGAGAGGACAGCGGGAGAGGGGGGTGGAGGCATGGGGACGGTGGTGGGAGACACCACCAGGGTGGTGAGGAGGAGGGTTAAGGATGTGGCGAGCGATGGCGAGGGAGTGAGGGGAGCAGAGATTCTGGTTTTACCCGGGTTCAGGCGTCAAGAATCCGGAATACACATTCAGTTTTGAAAAGGCAGCGACATCCTTGTGCCTACTACCACTCACTATAACTCGTAAATAATGTATTACATTTGGTATTCGCGCAATCATTATTAGAGTGCCAGGCGATCACCGCGAAGCAAGACGCTATGTTTCATAGACGCAGTCTGCAGTAGGTTCAGTCAGGGCCAACGTTGCTCTGTGGAAACCAAATTGAGTCATCTACAGGTAACTTTTCAAATCCGGCAAATTTGGGCCATGACGCCAGCACACGATGGCCGACTATAGAAACTAAACTAATTATTTTTTTGTATTTTACCAGGTAAGGCCCACTGAGCTATACATCTCTTTTTCAGAAGCGCCTTGGCCACAAGTGATATTTCAATGAATCGGCTAGTCACGTGGAAATGTATATAACAGCAAAATATTCTCAATGCATGTTTCATAATGTAGAGGGGAAAAAAAACTGGAGGACCCGGACAAAAATCCACGCAATCATGGCAAGAACATGCAAACTCCAAATAAACAGGCGTCAGTGTCGGGATTGAACCCATGGCCTCCTGAATACCAGGTGAGGTAGTTAACATCTCGCCACCCTGGCGCCTGAAGAGCTAGGGAGTGGAGGTGTAGTAAATAGCGCACTACTGCGTTACAAATCCGATGACCTGCATTTGGTTCCTGGTCACGGTTAACATCAGCGGTGGGCGATATCAGAAACTGGTCCTGGGTCTCCCCTAGGTCAACTCAGGCTTAAATGAGCACCAAAAAATTGGCATCAGATGACACGTTTGCGTGCCTGACGTAAAATCAAGCGTGAAACTGACCTTTAGCTTGGGTGTAACTTGATGTGTGGATGTGGAGTTGCCTGTCAAGAATACAAGTGATGACAACACATTGGTGAGGCACAAACGGCACACAGAATGGTGCGAAGTCGATTGTAGGAGCTGGCAAACAAGCAGCGCACGTGAAGATGGTCGATAAGAATAGACAAAGATTCCCCAAACAGCTTACAACAGACTGTTGGGGCAAGTGCTGTTAGCGAGCACCCATTAAGACCAACACGACGTACAAGGGGCGGTGTGGTTAGCACCCCCAAGCAGCCGCCTTTGTCTACCCAGTGTTGATGTTTTACACACTGCACCAGGTACTCATATAAGGCTGAGGCGACCTACACACAAAGACAAAGATCCCCCGTATAACCTTAACAGACTGTAGGGGCAAGTGCTGTTAGCGAGCATCTATGAAGGCCGGAACGGTGCACGAAGGGGTGGGTGGCCGGCACCACGCCCAACCGCCTTTGTCTCCCCAGTGTTGACGTTTACACGCCACACTAGGTACTCATTTGAGGCTGAGTCGACCTAGGGGAGGCCCACGACCGGTTCAAATAATCGTCACTGATGTTGGCCATAAGCGTGAATTAAACTTGAGTCGCCAGGTTAAAGAACAACGCGCTAACCACACACTCCCGCTCCCCACGACCTACACACATATACACACGCGCATACAAAGACACGTGGTCTAATCAGAAGGCCGTTAGTGCTCCGATTGGCACGGTTGACTACGTACGGCGCGAAAGAAGTTACACATACATACATTAGTTCAATGGTTAGGCTTGGCAGTCTGTGCCAGGTGTGGCAGTGTGGTTGGCGTTTGAGCCAGGGCTAGTGTGGGTTGTACCATGCGACCTATTTTGCCAGTATCAAAGTATGAAAAATAAGAATAGGTTCCACCATTGCTGGCAATAAAACAGGTGTTAAGATGTTCAAACACCAAACAGAAACCTTTTGTCAGGAATCGAGTCTGCATTAACCACACGTACTTGTGGCGAAAATGCAGCAAACATGCTCTGATAATTGTATTTGAAACTGATTGGGCTACACCAGAGGCAGCCTTCTTTGTGGCCTAGTCTCCACAGTGTCAGACCAGAGAACGTCAAAAGGCAAACAGGACAAAGACAATGCACGTATCAGAGCATTTACGGCTCAGGTTGAGCAGCTATATCAACGACAAGGCATAAATATTATCAGAGCATGTTTGTTTGCATGTTCACAACAAGTACGCGTGGTTAATGCGGACTAGATTCCTTGCAAAAGGTATCAATTTGGTGTTTAAACATCTTTACACCTTCTAGATTTGAAGCTTTCGTGACTGCAAGGATTCATACTCTTTGGTTTTTTCGGTAAAGTCACGTAGGTAAAACAATCAATAAAATAAAATAAATGAAAACAACTAAAAAAATTAACGTGACTTTACCGGAAAAAAAAGAGTATCTTTACACCTCCTGCTATATTGCCAGAAAGGGTCAAATCCGTTCTTATTTTTCAGTGTGGGTTGTGTTTGTGAGTGACCAGGCTCCGGGATCGGTTTACCGTGCCCTCTCTGCTCCTTCTGTCGCCGAATTTGCTCTCGGATCAGCTTCTGCTCCTCCTCGAGTTGGCGCGATCCCTCCTCTCTCAGTCGCTCGATCTGCAAGTGATGGCATCAATTCGAGAGGTTTATTAAGTTGCTGCTTTTGCATAAACCGTACATATATATTGTAAGACTTTTCACCCAACTTGAATCCATGTCAAGAGACAAACTATCCATTCGGAACTCTCACGCAGTAGTGCAACCCTTCATGTTTGAGAATGGCCCATGGAAGCAGATTTCACAGAGCTACTTCTGAATAAGTCAAGTTTGGGATTGTGACACCGGGATTTTGAGTAACACTGGGATTATAACACTGGGATTGTGAGTGACACGGGGATTGTAAATGTCGTGGGGATTGTAAGTCGCACTGGGATTGTGAGTGACACTGGGATGGTGTCATTGGGATTGTGAGTGACACTAGGATGATGTCATTGGGATTGTGAGTGACACTGGGATTGAGTGACACTGGGATGGTTTCACTGGGATTGTGAGTGACACTGGGATGGTGTCACTGGGATGTAGTGTCACTGGGATTGAGTGACACTAGGATGATGTCATTGGGATTGTGAGTGACACTGGGATTGAGTGACACTGGGATGGTTTTACTGGGATTGTGAGTGACACTGGGATTGAGTGACACTGGGATTGTGACACTGGGATTATGTCACTGGGATTGTGTCACTGGGATTGAGTGACACTGGGATTGTGACACTGGGATGATGTCACTGGGATTGTGAGTGTCACTGGGATTGAGTGACACTGGGATGATGTCACTGGGATGATGTCACTGGGATTGCGAGTGTCACTGGGTGGTGTCATTGCACTTTGAGTGACACTGGGATTGCCACACTGATGTTGCGAATAACTCGGTGACCGCACCTCTTCCTGAAGCCGCTTCGCTGCCGCTTCCTGCTCCTCTCGGCTGCTCCACGCGTTGCTTTCTTTCGATTCCAGGTCTGAAAGACAAACGCCGGGGTTTGTCTCACCCGAGTTCATCAGTTTCCCGCTGCCAGTCACACTTATATATGCTGAACTTCTTTCGCACCGTACGTAGCCAACCGTGCTAACCGAAGGTGCTAAAATATATCCGCACCCCAGCACTTAGACAATGACATTTGGATAGTTGGTTGGCATTTTTTTATTTCTTGCAATTCTGGTTGTTCATGCCATGTTATCAAGAGAAGAAGACATGTACATACAGCACCTCTCGCAGCAAGCAAAGCGTCACTTCGAGTCTGAGAAATGCCTCGTGCCGGTCGTGTTATCCGACCATGTTTCACCACACTGATCCGTACGGGTTGGTGAAGCCAGGGCGCATAGAGTTTGTCGCATAAAAGTACAGTACAAGAATGGATTTTCGCTCCACTGCCCATAACATAGGGCGCAGCCCCGCGTTTACAGCAGTCACCCGTCCAAGCACTATCCAAACTCATCCCTGCTTGGCATCCAAAAACATGACGGGATCGGGATATAATTCAGGAAAAAGACGACATATTTGGGCGTCAGAGTGGTGGAGTAGTAACGCTCGTGCCTCACAGCAAGAAAGGCCTGGATTCGATTCCTGCCTCGGGCGCCTTTCTAAGTGGAGATTCTACGTCTCCCCCAGTTCTGCATGCGTTTCCTCCGGGTTCTCCAGTTTATTCCCACGGCAAAATAAAAATAAAAATCCATTCATTGTCACTGGTATTGAGCCAAAACATTCCAGTGCTGAAGAACTACCTGCAAATTACTCCGTTGGGATTATGCGTAACAATGTCACCCCCCCCCCCCCCAGTGAGAGTTTCCTAGGTGAAGAGGCATCGTAATAATAATGCTGATTCTGCACGTGACGGATGTCGCTGGAGTGACGTTCATTAATCGGCAAGGCGGCTGCGAGAGTGGCTTTAAGTCAAGCAAAATAAAGGGTGACTAATATGATAACACTTACCCAGTTTCACCTTCTTTCGTTTTTCATCGAGATTCTTGGTCCTTTCGGCTGCGAGACGTTTCGCCCTTTGCACTTTATCATAGGCTGCCTGCGAATTCGTGCACAGGCCCATCACAGACACAAACACACACATGACACACGACACACGCATCACCCTTGCTCACTTAACACAGTACACGTACGTTCAATACACAACACTGGGAGTATTAACACGTGCCTTACACACACACACGTCCATGTATACACAACGGATACTCAATGACACAATACACAACTGATGGTCGACACAAACAAAAGCACACATGCCCATGCACACAGAACAGATAATCAATGCAAACACAACACATGTCAATGAACACACAACAAATGATTAACACACTCAACACATTAGCAATGAAAACACAGCACACAACTGATGAGCAATTCTGATACAACACACGTCTGTGCGCACACAACACTTAACCAAACGGCACAACAAAGACACACGTCTATGCACGCCTAACAGACAATACAAACACACCACGCACAAAACGCAATAGATTTACCAATGCAGACACAACAAAGACAAATATCCCCCGTGCAGCCTTAATAGACTGTTGAGGCAAGTGCTGTTAACGAGCACCTATGAAGACTGGCACGGCACGGCACACGAGGGGGTGGGTGGCACACGCCCGGCCGCCTTTCACAGCAAACACTAAAGAGTCCACTATCGTCCGCCCCGTTTCCTTTGCTCCTCACCCTGGCTGCAGCGTCCGTCAGCACTTCAAGGGCCCGGGACAGCTCGTGAAACAGCTCCACTGTGGGTACAGCAACACAGGACACACACTGTCATCACATCCCCTAGGCACATCAATAACGCATCCTTTTGCAATCGATTCCCAAGCTCGCGGTATGAGCATGCAGGGCACTGCAGTCATATCCACAGTCCATAGCGAGAAAGGGGTGGTATACTGGGTGTGGTGTGCCGGGGGGCGGATGTATTTTCCAGGTCGCTGACCGAGACAGACCCGGCGGATTATTAATCCCTGCATGTGGAAGAATCGGTTAAAATAAGTGTGATTTCAATGAATGTCATGGTATAAGCCAAGTCAAGATTGAAGGTAATTTACGGAGGTCGACAAAACCCGGCAAACTAGCGGGGGAAAATGTTGAAACATTACACAAGAGACGATGAAGACGAGGCAGGAAAACATCGAGTCGCCCTCCGGATCGCGACAATACAGCAAACCATGGGGTAGGTGAATCATTTCAGGGTAGAAATTGAGGGTAGGACACTTGACAGAGGAGGGTATGCCCCCTGATGGAGGAGCGTAGGCCCCCTGATGGAGGAGGGTAGGCCCCCCGATGGAGGCGGTTAGGCCTCCTGATGGAGGGTAGGCTCCCTGATGGAGGGTAGGCCTCCTGATGGAGGAGGGTAGGCCCCTGATGGAGGGTAGGCCCCCTGATGGAGGAGGCCTAACCGCCTCCATCAGGGGGCCTACCCTCCCCTTGATGGAGGAGGATATGCCCCCTGATGGAGGCGGGTAGGCCCGCTTATGGAGGAGGGTAGGCCCCCTGATGGAGGGTAGGTCCCCTGATGGAGGAGGCCTAACCGCCTCCATCAGGGGGCCTACCCTCCCCTTGATGGAGGAGGATATGCCCCCTGATGGAGGCGGGTAGGCCCCCTTATGGAGGAGGGTAGGCCTGCTGATGGAAGAACGTAGGCCCCCTGATGGAGGAGGCCTAACCGCCTCCATCAGGAGGCCTACCCTCCCCCTGATGGAGGAGGGTTGTCACTCCTTACCAGCACTGGGGTTGTCTGGGTTTTTGTCCGGGTGACACTCAAGTGCCTTTCTCCTGTACGCCTTCTTGATCTGGAAGGCACAGACACGCACACACACGACTCGTGCTTACACGGACAGAAATGTCTGCGTGGAGCTTTCTCCGCCGTCCTATATATGCTGTCCAAATAGAGGCGTCGATAAGAGGTCGGGATTAAGAGTTTAGGGGTTTAGGGTTGGGGGGGTTTGGCCTCAGGGGTTATTGTCATGGTTCAGAGTTAAGGGTTGGAGTTTAGAGGTTAGGGTTATGGTTTATGGGATATGGGTTGGCTTAGGATGTAGGGGTTACGGTTGTAGCTTAGGGTTAGGGATTATGATTTAAGTTTAGGGGTTATGGTTTAGGATGAATATAATTAGGGGTTATGATTTAGGATGAATATAATTAGGGGTTACGATTATACTTTAGGGTTAATAATTATGTTTTAAGCGTTTGGGTTTCGGGGTTATGCTTACAGTTTAGGGCTATGGGCTGGGTTTAGGGGTTATGGTTAAGGATTAAGAGTGAGGGGATAATGTTTTAGTTTGGTTATTAGTACATGATACCGCTTTGCCACGAATCTGCGTTGGCAGCATCCTGGGACGTTTCACGCGAACCTCCGATCAGCACGCTCGGCTACGTACGGCGCGAAAGAAGTTCAACATGCAAACATTAAAGGAGGGTTGGGGATGGGCGATATCGCTTTAGAACCCTTCCCGACACACAAGACAAAACGACGTACCTCCTTAGGAGACGCGTTCTCCTTGATACCCAGCAAGCCGTACAGATCCATCTGCAGGACATCTTTGCAGTCTTTGGCTGCCATGTGGCTGCCAAACCCGGCGCCGGGTCAAGCTTCTTCCTGACCTAACAGCAGCAGCGGCGGTCCCGACAGCGACCTACCTACCACCTCGTGCCCTCCCGACAGCGACCTACCACAAGTAACCACCCCAAGTCACAGTGTCTGCCGTCCTAACACAGACGGGCACCACCACCAGCACGACCACCACGACCCACAGGCCCCCAAGAACCACGTCCTCCACCACCCCCGCCGACTCCGAGTCCAGCCCCTGGCCTGGCACCACTTCCCAAGCAGAGCCGCGTCGCTCTTCCCACCGCCGCGTCCCTTGCTCCGCTGACCGCCCCAGACACAGGAGCCGCGGCCACAGCAGCAGCAGCAGTAGCAGCCCTGCCGCCGACTGCCCACTCCGCCTTCGCCGTGCAGTCAAAGAGCGGCCTGGCAGCGTCTCCACGCTAACAGCGCTCGTGTCTCTCGCTCTCGCTTCCACGCTCTCGTCCCCACCACCACCCCCTGGCCCAGTTCCTCTCTCCCCGTTCCTCCCTCTCCCGGCTTTGGCGAAGCGACGCCGAGGCCCCGCGCAGAGACAGCGGCGCCGTCTCTCGCGGCCCCGGGCGGCGGAGTTCGAAGGCGGAGCGCGGGGCGCCGACGAAGGCCTCGGCCCGGGAGTGCGACCACGCGCGGCCATCTTAGTACAGGACCGGCGGGGGAGGGCGGCCACGCGCGGCCATCTTAGTACAGGACGGCGGGGGAGGGCGGCCACGCGCGGCCATCTTAGTACAGAACGGGCGGGGTGGGGGGCCACGCGCGGCCATCTTAGTACAGGACGGCGGGGGAGGGCGGCCACGCGCGGCCATCTTAGTACAGAACGGGCGGGGTGGGTGGCCACGCGCGGCCATCTTAGTACAGGACGGCCCTCAGCAACACCACAAACCGCGAGCGCCTTTGGGAAGTTGAACAAATTTAATTTTATTTTGTGATTTTGGTGCAAACGCGACAAATAATAACAACGAAATGCAACGGGTTCGTCAAAAATCGCTGTTGCCTTAAAAGTAACAAAATATATAATGGGTCATATTACAAATGTTTTTTTTAACGTAAAAAATATTTGTTAACGTACAATGAAGGAGTGTTGCTTTCGCATATTGCACATGTTATATTTTAAAGGCGGTGTCTTTAAATAAAAACAATACACGAGTCTGCAAAAAGGCCGTTCCACTCACAACGCCGGCGCCTTCCCTACCCAAGATGGCCGCCGCTGCGCCGAACGAAATTTGTCATTCTAGATTTGAAGCTTTCGTGACTGCACTGATTCATACTCTTAGGTTCTTTCGGTAAAGTCACTTATGGAATTTTTAAAAAAATAAAATAACGTGTTTTAATTTATTATTATTATTTGTTTCCCTTTTCCCTACGTGACTTTTACCGAAAGAACCTAATAGTATGAAAATTGTCATGGCGGCGGGGGGGGGGGGTCCTTGATCACTATGGCGATCATGATGATGGTGGTGGTGGTTGTGATGGTGATGGGAGGAGCAGTAATTGTCGCCGTCTCTCGGTTGATCCCTGACCCCGGAATAAAAACAATAAACCACTGCTTCTACTACTGCAGTTGTCGCTGTTGCCCTGGGTTGCGGCGTTTGTGCCACTTTGAATGGCGCGGGGATTGCAGCGCCTGGTCAGCTTAATGGGTTTCATCGCTTAAATTGATTCTCTGGACTCGGTCACAACCACACACTTTCGTGCTGCCCTCTGCTGTATCAGTCTCATTACAGCCCTCATCCCACTGCTGCCCTCATCCCAGCGCTGCCCTCGATTCAGCGCTGCCCTCACCGGGAGTGAAAAGAAGAAGAAGTAGCAGGTGCCATGGCGAACGCGGCCGCTCTGGCGTCGATGGACTTCGAGGTGTTCGGCAAGGTGCAAGGTGGGGGAGACGTCGCTCCGGGTGTCTGGGAGTTGCCGTGGAGTTGCCGTGGAGTTGCGTGGAGTTGCGGGGAGTTTGGGAGTTGCGGGGTGGCTCAGAAGGGGTTGAGGCTGGGCTCGAATCCGGGCTTCACCCGCCCCCGACTGGGCCTCTCCACTGTGGCGAGGCGACGGACTGAGCGGTGCACGGCGGTCAATTACAGATCGGACGTCACGGGACAGCTGCAACTTGACCTCGTGCGGATAAAGGGGCAATTGCAGGGGAGCAATTGCAGGGGGGCAATTGTAGGGGGCAATTGCAGGGGGCAATTGTAAGGGGGCAATTGTAGGGGGCAATTGCAGGGGGGCAGTTGTAGGGGGGCAATTGTAGGGGGCAATTACAGGGGGGCAATTGCAGGGGGCAATTGTAGGGGGCAATTGCAGGGGGGCAATTGCAGGGGGGCAATTGTAGGGGGCAATTGTAGGGGGAAATTGCAGGGGGGCAATTGTAGGGGGCAATTGCAGGGGGGCAATTGCAGGGGGGCAATTGCAGGGGGGCAATTGCAGGGGGCAATTACAGGGGGGCAATTGCAGGGGGCAATTGTAGGGGGCAATTGCAGGGGGGCAATTGTAGGGGGCAATTGTAGGGGGCAATTGTAGGGGGCAATTGCAGGGGGCAATTGTAGGGGGCAATTGTAGGGGGCAATTACAGGGGGGCAATTGCAGGGGGCAATTGTAGGGGGCAATTGTAGGGGGCAATTGCAGGGGGGCAATTGTAGGGGGCAATTGTAGGGGGAAATTGCAGGGGGGCAATTGTAGGGGGCAATTGCAGGGGGGCAATTGCAGGGGGGCAATTGCAGGGGGCAATTACAGGGGGGCAATTGCAGGGGGCAATTGAAGGGGGCAATTGCAGGGGGGCAATTGTAGGGGGCAATTGCAGGGGGGCAATTGCAGGGGGGCAATTGTAGAGGGCAATTGCAGGGGGGCAATTGCAGGGGGGCAATTGTAGGGGGCAATTGCAGGGGGGCAATTGCAGGGGGCAATTGCGGGGGGCAATTGTAGGATGGGGCAATTGCAGGGGAGGGCAATTGCATGGGGGGCAATTGCAGGGGGGGGGGGAATTGCAGGGGGGGCAATGGCAGGGGGGGGGGGCAATTGCAGGGGGGGCGCTTCAGAATTAGTTCTGTGATGCCAACTTCCAGAGGTTACATGTCTTGTTCTTTTATTCGTATGGCCATTGTTGATGTAGAACAACGACACATTTACGTTGAGGTGGTTGATGAGCCAGATACTTTGCACTGCTTGCGTCGCGGGTGTGTTGCTGTGAAAACGTCTCCTCTGTATTTGTGATTCGGGGCACTGAGTCGTTTTTATTTATTCAATGTCCATGTGGTTGTGTTCTGTGTGCCCGCGGACAGCACGGTTTAGCCGATGCTTTCTGCCAGAGCTCTGGATGGAAATTTGTCGCATGAAATGCCGAAGCGGAACGTCAATATAATTTGGATTAAGAAGAAAAAAAGACGAAAAATAAAACTAGGTTTTACCCTTTTCCTGCAGTAAAACATGAGGTGGTAAGATGTTCAAACACCAAATAGATACATTTTGCAAAGCATCAAAGTCTGCATTAACCTCACATACTAGTGGCAATACATTGTGCAGCGCCTTTGACAGGCTGTATGAAGGAACTTACCTGTAGTAGCGTACACGTGTCAGCAGGGGGTGGTATGCAGGCCAGGTGGGATGGACAGGGCCTTTGGACCACTCGCATTCCCAGACCCAAAGAGTGGGGTTGGGGGATATTCCAGGGCCCCCTAGAACGTTCCAGAAGGGAGGCGTTGCTAGGGGCGGAGAGACCCTGGAGTGGGTATAAAAGCCGGACCCTTGAACGGGTTCGGCAGTCATCGTCAAGCCGAAGACCCGAAAACCTGAAGATCCAGCTTAGAATAGGACCCTGGAAACCCCCAGGACCCGCCGCCCTTCTAAGGGCCGAAACTGAGTGGGCCAGTGGTTGGACCCTGGGAACATTCGGAGGCCCGACGTCCTTCTAAGGGCTGAGACTGAGTGGGCCAATGGTTGGACCCTGGGAACATTCGGAGGCCCGATGTCCTAATTGCCGAGACTGAGTGGGCCAGTGGTTGGACCCTGGGAACATTCGGAGGCCCGCCGTCCTTCTAAGGGCCGAGACTGAGTGGGCCAATAGTTGGACCCTGGGAACATTCGGAGGCCCGATGTCCTAATTGCCGAGACTGAGTGGGCCAGTGGTTGGACCCTGGGAACATTCGGGGGCCCGACGTCCTTCTAAGGGCTGAGACTGAGTGGGCCAATGGTTGGACCCTGGGAACATTCGGAGGCCCGATGTCCTAATTGCCGAGACTGAGTGGGCCAGTGGTTGGACCCTGGGAACATTCAGAGGCCCGACGTTCTTCTAAGGGCCGGGGCCGAGTGGGCCAGTGGCCGGGACCCAAGGACCTTGGCTGGGTCGGGTCAGGTAGCCTCCCCTAGGTCCCTCCAGACGGAGAGCTGAGATAGAGAGTGGTCCCAGTAATACAGGCCACGATAGCCGGAGGCTGTACCTCTCCAGGTATCGGGTGGAAGGGGCCGTTACCCCTTTTGTATTAGGGACCCTGTGTTAAATAAACGTGTTGCCTCTGAAGAACCGTTTCTTTCTCATCTTGGACCCACTACACGTGCAAACAAATATGCTCTTAATAATGCATGCATCGTCTCTCTCCCCGTGGTCACGTGGATTTGTCTCCGAGACGTCCGGTTTTTCCCTCCACATTTAGAATCGACGTGTGTTTAGAGCATTGGCTGCTATACATTTCCACGTGATAAGCCGCTTTGTTGAGCTGCCATTTGTGGCCAGGTCGCTTCTGAAGAAGAACTACGTAGCTCAGTGGAACTTACCTATCGTTAGTTAATAGTTCAAAGGTGTCCGAGACGGGCATTGCAGTGATACCCAGAGGGTGGTAACAAGGAGAAAGTCTAAAGTCGGATGGCATTTGTGATAAGACTGCTATAGCGGCCTTTGGAGTATGGTTGTTAACTTTACAAAGGCTGTGGAATCTGTCGGAAGGAAGCAAGCGGTGGCAGGGTGTGGTGGCATTATTGGCAATGGCCTCTTTCATTTGGCCGAGCTACTAAAACCAGTTTTGTTTGAGCAGTGTAAACCCAACCCTGTACTCACTGACTCTGACCCGTGTCTCCTCTGGTGCTTTGTTTTGCAGGTGTCTTTTTTAGAAAGGTAAGCAATTTTCACGTCACTCACTCTTTGCATTTAGCCCCCTTGGTTTATTTTAATCGGTAAGATCTATTCAAGCAATTATACACTTGCTGCCTGTTTGAACTTCTACATTGAATGACATTGAGTGAGTCAAGAAAAATAATTGCCGGGCACGGCGGCACATGCCTCTGAGGCAAAGGGTTGGTGGAACACAGATTTGTGAAACGCCCAAACCCAGTCGAGTGTGAGGTGGCCAACGAGATGGCAGTACTGTAAGTGGGTGATTGATCCCATCTGTGCAGACCTTTGAATGTACGTTGTGGGGTTTTGTCCGGGTACTCAAGTTTCTTCCCGTCTGTCAAACACTGCTCTAAAAGGCCATGTGGTCACCAGGTGACACAGAGGTCAGAAGTCAGAATGCTGTCTGCAAGTGCTGCCTGGCACAAGCGCAAGGCACTTGACAGAATCCCTGACGAAGGAGGGTAGGACCCCTGAAGGAGGAGGTTAGGGTCTCCGATGTCCTTATACCCCCACCATGTCCCTGTTTCCCTATGCCCCCCCCCCCCATGTTCCCCTTGTCCCCATGTCTCTGTGTTCTCATGTCCCTGTGTCTCCATGTCTCTGTGTTCTCATGTCCCTGTGTCCCCATGTCCCCCCGTCCCTGTGTCCCCATGTCCCTACATCCCCCCGTGTCTTCATGTCTCTGTGTCCCCATGTCGCCCTGTCCTCACATCCCTGTGTTCCCATGTCCTCATACCTTTGTGTCCCTGCCGTACCCCCCCCCCCCGTATGGCCGTGGAGCAGCACACAAGGCAGGAGGCAATGCGGCTCGGCCTGGTGGGCTGGGTGCGCAACACTGAGCGGCACACGGTGGAGGGGCGTGCGCAGGGCCCGCCAGACCGCACAGAGCAGCTGTAGGTGGCTGCCCTACTCCCACAGCAGCAGCAGCAGTAACAGCACAAGTGTAGTAGAGTTACCTACTCGATGTTCACAAACAGGGAGAGCTAATCGTTGACAAGGTGTTCCCGCTCTTTCTAACGGTCAGGGTCTCACAAGCTGTGAGAGCTGACCGTAAACAAGGTTTTCCCGCGCGACCAAACGGTCAGGGTCAGATAGGGTGAATTGAGATCCTAAAGCAGATTGGGAATGACCAATCACAGGGTTCCACAAGGTGGCCGGGGATTGGACAACTCGGCTACGAACAAGTATAAAGCCAGAGCGCTCAGAGCTCTCGGGGAGTTCGACTACACGAAGACCCAAGACGGCGGAAGAAGCCTAGGACCCTGGACCAAGCCCTCCAGCCCTTATAAGGGATAGGGTTCAGAGTAACCAGTGGTCGGGGAGACATCTCCCTAGGTCCAGTCAGAGGACATTGAAAGGGCGGGATATTAAGTAGCCTGTAGGGTGCGGAGGCTTGTACGTTCTGAGTGTAACGGGTGAGGGGACCGTATACCCCTCAGTGCATAGGGACTGTGTTCATAAGACGAATAAAAGTGTGTGCTACAAAAGACGTTGAAGAGTCCGTCTGTACAACACTACACAAGTATCAGCAGGAAAAATCCCACCGTGTATCTCTGGTAGCGAATGTCTGTAATCCAACACCGTGGAGGTGTGGGTTGGTGAATCACACACACTAATACGTGAAACTCCCAAAATCCGCTGAGCTGCAAGGTCGCCCTCTCCTGGCTTGCCAGGGTATGATGGCAGTACAGCAAGTAGGAACAGCGTTGGGTCAATGTCGGTCCAACGGTTCCAACCGCATTCCAACGTTGGCCCGACAGTGCCCTGCATTCCCACCCAACTTCACCAACCCGCACTTGACCGGCGTGGTGAAGTATGGTCAAATATCCCTCTGTTTGCCGTACGGCGTGGGGGGGGGCCCTCATTGTCCAGCAGTGGATTGACAAAACGGACCATACAAGTTTGCGTGTCCTAACATGCGACGTTGCACAACATTCGAAGACCGCGACAAAGTTATGCGTATACTCATTGGTTCTTTCGGTAAAGTCACGTATGTAGAAATAAAATAAAAATAACATTAAAATAGATCACGACGTTTCGAACACAACACAAGCGTGGGGAGAGTTGCACCGTGAATCCCCGTCTCTTGCGATGACCTGTCATACTTGCCTTTGTGCTTGTCTGCCCGCAGGAAGGTGTGGCTGAGCACAAAGGGCAGCCCCAAAAGCCGCATCACCCGTGCCGAATTCTCGTCGGAGCGAACCGTGGAGAAGGCAGAGTACAGCGACTTCCGCGTCGTCAAATAGACGCCGCGAGGGGCCGGATCTCCCCTCCCCTCTACCCACAGGGTCTTTATAACCCTGGCTAACAGCATGCATCGTTTTGTCATTGCGACTTAATCAGGTTAGGGACTGCGGTGCTGGCTTTAGCCCTAACTTAGCCCAACGTGAGGCTAAACCAGGTTGGGGCAGTGGTTCGAGCCTGGTCATTAACTCAACCCCTAACCCAGCCAACGTGAGGCTAAACCAGGTGAGCGCTGTGGGTTCAGCTGTCGCCCGGATATCAAAACTCAACCCAGCCCAGTATGCAGTTAAACTGGGTGAGGACTGTTGTTCTTATCCAGGCCTGACGAGAGGTGGAGAAAGGAGTTACCGGGGTATCGGGGGGTACTGGGGGTACTGGGGGCCCTCCCCAGGACAAGATTGTTTAATTTATTTTTATTTACATGATGTGGGCCCCTAGCAAAGGTGATGTACTGGGGCACCTGGTTCTAGCCCTGACTCTTTCACTGTAAGCCTAGCCCAGCCCAACAAGGAAGCATGCAAAAAACAACAACAAGGTTAAGGCTGTGGATCTATCCATGACCATGACTCTAACCCGCACACAGTCAAATAGCGAGGCTAAATCTCAATTAGGTTAGGGCTATGGTTTTAGCTCTGGCCATGCCCCTTAAGCCTCGCCCCAAGTAAGCCTAAACCACACAGTTACTGGCTCCTGAATTAATATCTATACCTCGACATCATGCATCTTCTGCCTTACGATAACACGTACAATTTTACATCCACACCCAGCCCTGACCGCTAGTTGTACAATTAATGCTTGGACGCTGCCTGGTTTGTTTGAACAAAAAAATGTGAAAGGCAGACGTACCATACACACAGGGATTGTGCAATGTTTTCAGTATGCGTTTTGTTTAGCAGCAGCAGCAGCAGCAGCAAAGTCGTGTGTAGCTGTCGGCTTAAAATACTTTTATGTTCATTTGCTGTGGGTTGGGTCTCCCAGGGTTTGGGCAACCCCTTTACTCAAGGTGGCCAGTATTCTCTGGTGTAAGTCCGTAATAGCAACACAACTCTTAGCTTCACTCAACGTGGCCAGTATTCGCTGGTGTAAGACCATCAATCATTTCCTGTCATCAATTTCGCTTTCACCGAATTCACGCATCACAGATGTTCCCATTGCTTCCTCTCTTCTATTTCATTCACCTCATCTCGCCCATTACATTCACACGCTGTACCGCTGTTAATTCTTTGTAAAGCGCCTTGGTTAAGGCGCTGTATACATTCCGTTAAGATACGATAGCAACACGACTTTTAGCTAAAGTTCGGTTCGTATTTGATCATCGTTACGAGAGTTGTGATCTCTACCATCCCGATAACGCATAAATGGGAATGAAGGCGCACAGCTATAAAAGCAAACAGGCTGACACTTTACTTCAGCTGGTAAAGCTAATTGAGCTAAACAGCTGTTAAGGACTGACCACAACCCAACGGTGGTCGGTTATGGCGGCAGTTACAGGAAATTGCACTTGCATAGTTAAATATAGAGACAGAGTTACATGGAGAGCCATAGTTACATAGAGATCCAGAGATCCACAGAGCTACATAGAGATCCACAGAGTTACATAGAGAGCCATATAACTACATAGAGAGCCATAGAGTAACACAGATTCAGTGACACAGAGATTCATAGAGTTACAAAGAGACTCGTAGAGTTACACACAGACTTATTTCAGCTGGTAAGGCCCATGGAGCTCAATAGTTGTGCTACAAAGACGACCACAGGCCAAGGCCATCTTTGTTAGTGAGCAAAGACAACTTTAAAATGTGCCCCGAGTGTGCGTGGCCTGACTTTATTTATTATTTATTCATTCCTTCTCGGTGGCTCTTAACAATTTTGCTTTCAATGCCTCGTCATATATTCCCAGGGCCATTGTCTCCAACGCAAGAGATGGTGCGCTGCAAAAAAAAAAACCACCGTGAACTCCGGCTAGTGGGCGGCCTAGCCACTCGGCCTGCGTCCTCGTTCCGTGGCGAGCGGCCCGTGGCGAGCGGCCGGCCCAGCTGGGCTCGGAGGAAGCGCAATCGGCTCGGAGGAAGAGCATTCGGCTCGCGAGCGAAAGGGCGATCCCAAGGGGGATCGGCAACCAACAATAACGAGAAGCAGACACTTTCTTTTTTTGGTTCGAATTCGGTAGAGAGCTCGATATTTCAAGAGCCGCAATGCACGTGAACACACACGGGGCACATGCGCTACGTCACGAGGGAGCCCCGTAAGAGAGCCGCAGGTTGCAGACCCCCTGAGCTACAGCCGCTCGCAATCGAAACGTCGCAAATTCTTCCCCTATTGGTTATCGACTCGGCCCATCATCCCGTTCCGGGGACGTCCCATAAAGCGAGTACCCCGATTCCGCTGGAGATTAACACATCCAGCGTCGCCGGGTGTTGACGGTGCGGCTCTGCTCTCACGTAAGAGCCACCCCCCCCCCCCCAGTGGCAGCTGCCCCTGTGCGGCACGAGGTGACTGCGATTTGGCAGGAGTCTGCCAATCGGGGAGGGGTGAGGGACGATGATTGTTTTCCGTTACGTGTTGTGTGATCCCGTTTGAGTTATATTGACAATGTCATGTTGGCTCGGGACCCCCATTTCTCCAGATGCCCCTCCCCCCTCATCCCTGTTGTCAAAAATTAAAAACTTTGCCCAGGCATCTTATGCACGTTGAACTTCTTTCGCACCGCACGTAGCCAACCGTGCTAATCGCCGGGGGTGCGGGATATAGATCGTACGGAGTGTTATTAGATTCACGAAGTTCGTACAAAGATCCCCCCGTGTAGACTTTACTTAGTAGACTGTCGGGGCAAGTGCCATTAGCAGGCGCCCGTGAAAGCCGGCGGCCAAAACCACACGTGGCCAATGCCACGTCAAGTTGGTGTCGAAGGCTCGCTGATGGCTGGAGGTCACGGGATAGACCCCCAGGTACCATGGGCTGACCGAGACGACTGGCAGATGCACCGCCTGTGCTCCCCACTCTGCCAACGTTCTACAGCGTCTTTTATCCGCCCGGCGCTCCGCTTGTTGTTGTGAGCGTCGTTCCCCTCTGTCCTCCGTTGTTGTTGGAGGGCGACTGCCTCCCAACTGCCCAGTAGCGTTCCAGGTCGTTTCTCTCTCGAGGCGCTCTGTCTCCCTTCCTCCGGACGCGGGCTTGCTTGTTTAAAGGCAGTGCTGATGGTTTCCTCTCCCCCATGAGACACTCGGCAACTCTGAGCGAAAGCCGAAGTAGATTTTTGAGTGAGAGCGTGGATTCGGGGGGGGGGGGGGGGGGGACCGCCAACATCGCTGCGTGAATCAATGGACTCGTCTGTGAATTAATTGATGAATAAACGGATGAATTGCTGAATTAATCCTTGAACTGAATGAATCATGAACGACTTAAATGCTGGCGAACGAAACGCTCCGATGCTGCCCTCTGCTGGGAGCGCTCGGACTGCGTGAGCCTCGGGTTCAATTCTAGGTCAGGGACCATCATGCAGCAGCACCACCATCCATGCATCATCATCATCCATCACCATCCATGCATCATCATCCAACCATCATCCATCACCATCCATGCATCATCATCCATCACCATGCATCATCATCCACGGATCATAACCCATCCATCATCCATCCATCACCATGCATCCATCATCCATGCATCATCATCCATGCATCGATTAAGGCAGTCCCATACCTGCGTGAACAGTTGCGCAACTTGGCTGCATCGCAACTGAATCGCTTACACGTGGACGTCCGAGCAACCGGTTGCGAGCGATTGCCCGACAACCTCCCAGCACCGACTGACCGATTCTGTCTCATCCGCAGTGCAGGATTATCCTCGTAGCACAAGTCGCTACAAATGTAGCTGCGGGCCCCGCACTTTAAGGGCCCCGCGCTAAATGCTTTCAAGCTATCAATTCCGTTTCAGTGATTCTGCACTTGCTCTATTACTATAGTATTATACCGCCTTCAACTTTTATGAACGCGATTTGTCGTATTATCTGGGCTGTATAGCAAGTGAAAAATATACAATTACTATGCAAGTAAAAAATGTGCGTGTTTTAATATTAACGTTGTTTTTGTATTTTAGGGCCCCTTTATAACAATATATGCTCCAGGCCCTGCACTCGCTTCACCCGGCAGTGGTCATCCGCGCTGCGTGCCGGTCACAACCCCTGCTTCTTACTTCGCGCTGCTCCACGTTGGAACTACCTCCACCATCCTCCACGTCTATTGTTCCCCCCCCCCCCACGCTTTTATAATATCGCCTCTCTCAAATATACATTTCCACACGATGATGATGACGATAAGCCGCTGCGTTGAGCTATCATTTGTGATTGCCAGGGTCGCTTCTGAAAAAAATCTCTGCACATCTCAGTAATTTTTATTTTATTTTACCTTTATTAATTTTAATGTTTTACCTACGTGACTTTACCGAAAAAACCTAAGAATATGAATTCAGTGGGCCTTACCTGCCAAAAAAAAATTAGTTAATAGTTTGTATCAATCACCTAAGGAACTCCGACTTAAGTTAGTTTAACACGTAGGCTTTTAAAATCTGGCTGTCGCCTGATGAAGCTAGTTGTAATTACTGGCGAAACGTCGTACTCAAATTGTAAATGTTGTGGCTTGGTTCTCCAACACATCCGGTTAGTGCTGTACTAGTGACGAATTGGCCACGTTCTGTTTACGTGACAACCCTTACTAGCTAGCTGTGTCGGATGGTGGCGGGTTACCACCACCACCTACCACGACCCTGTACCATACCACCACCACCACCACCTACCACTACCCTGTACACCACCACCACCACCTACCACTACCCTGTACACCACCATCACCACCACCTACCACTACCCTGTACACCACCACCACCACCTACCACTACCCTGCACATCACCACCACCACCTACCACTACCCTGTACACCACCACCACCACCTACCACTACCCTGTACACCACCATCACCACCACCTACCACTACCCTGTACACCACCATCACCACCACCTACCACTACCCTGTACACCACCACCACCACCTACCACTACCCTGCACATCACCACCACCACCTACCACTACCCTGCACATCACCACCACCACCTACCACTACCCTGTACACCACCACCTACCACTACCCTGTACACCACCACCACCTACCACTACCCTGTACACCACCATCACCACCCACCACCACCTACCACTACCCTGCACATCGCTTTGGGAGTGAAGTGTCAGGAACGCATCTCTCCCCCCTCTCACCCCGTACATAAACCGAGGGGTATCTCTGTACCTGCAATTACTGGGGGGAGATTTTGCCCCCCGGTTGCTAGCTGTACAACAACAACAATAATAATGATGATGTTGTTGAGCGCTCTGGGGGAGGAAGAGGTAACTCAGAAGCCTTCCATGCCCTGCCCTAGTTGATTTACATCGCTCGGACCGACCACACAAAAAACGACCACAGTGACACTCGCACGTAGAGCTCTGATGATGAGAACGGGGCGTTACACTCGGCTGGAAATAGCTCGGGGGAGCGGGGTGTGTAGGCGATGGGCGTGGAGACTACAGCCCCCAGGTACAGGTTCCACGTGTCCTCGTCGTCATGAGCGCTGCACGTAAACTCAATGCCAGCACGGCGGTTCCATCTCACAGCACAATTCATATTATTGGGATGTCATCTGAACACTTCAAGTTGAAAACTACGATGTATTTTAAAAATATATATTTTAACAGGTCGGGCCTGCTGAGCTGTATAGCTCTTTTTTCAGAAGCGACCAGGCCACAAGTGATATTCTGATGTTTTAATTGATGATGTTTAAATTTAGTTGTTTTCATTTTAATTTATTTTATTTCGTTTTTTTTACCTACGTGACTTTAGAGTATGGATCCTTGCAGTCACGAAAACTTCAAATCTAGAATTAGCACAAATGATAGCTCCACGAAGTGGCTTTTATTGCAGCCTAATTCTCCAAAACGCGTGGTGATGTTGATTCTAAACGTGGAGGGAAAACCCGGAGGACCCGGAGAAAAATCCACGCGGCCACGTGGAGAGACACGCATCGGGCTCGAACCCACGACGTCTTGTAGACCAGGCGAGGTGGCTAACATCTTGTCACACGCCATCCGTGTTGATTTTGGGGGGCACTCACTATTTTGGGGGTCACACACCAACACCTTATCCTGGGTGTGTTGGGGGGGGTCATGACGGAGCCGGTGCCTGAGAAGGTAGGAATGAGATCATGTGGTTATTTTAGTTCATTAAAGGTTGGGACTCACAACAACAACAGCAGCAGCAACCGCCACAACCAATCTCCCCGTTGATGACGACGGGAGACACCTGGGGCTGCCTTGTTCCGGGCTGTCCGGAATGAGATTTGCAAGCTTCGATGGTGAGAAGAAGACGAAGAGGAGAGAAAACAACGGCTACGTTACGTTTGGGTGGCATGGTCATCACTCGTAGATACATGTATATAGCAGCGCCTTAATCCAAGACGCTTCACAACAAGTCTAAACGAGTGGGATTATTAAAAGTGTCGGTGTAGTTATGGTGGCAGGAGGACAGGTGGTTAAGGAGGGGTTGGGGTAGTGACAGGGGTAGTGAAAGGAGTAGTGATAGTGGTAGTGATAGGGGTAGTGATAGGGGTTGGGGTAGTGATGGGGGTAGTGATAGGGGTGATAGGGGTAGTGATAGGGGTAGTGATAGGGATAGTAGGGGTAGTGATAGGGGTAGTGATAGGGATAGTGACAGGGGTTGGGGTAGTTAAAGGGGTTGGGGTAGTGAAAGGGGTTGGGGTAGTGACAGGGGTAGTGATGGGGGTAGTGATAGGGGTTGGGGTAGTGATAGGGGGTAGTGGTAGGGGTAGTGACAAGAGTAGTGATAGGGGCTGGGGTAGTGACAGGGGTAGTGATAGGGGCTGGGGTAGTGGTTGGGGTAGTGATAGGGGTAGTGACAAGAGTAGTGATAGGGGCTGGGGTAGTGACAGGGGTAGTGACAGGGGTAGTGAAAGGGGCTGGGGTAGTGAAAGGGCTTAGAGAAGGTCTGTTCGCAGCTGGGGGTGGTGGAGGCAGGGCGTAGCAGCAGGATAGGCAACGCGAGTTGTTTCAAGGGAAGTGCCGAGCCATCTCGTCGTGGTTGACGCTGGTCCTTGTGTGTGCAGGGTGGGGGGGTGGAGTGGGTTCCTCTGGCGGGGAGCGAGACGGGAACGACGGACGCAGGGTGCCTGACGCCGCCACTTTGCCACGACGCTGCGGTCGATGGGGCTGGAACGTCGTCACCAACGCGTTCAGTGCGCAGCGTCCGACTCTTCACTCCCAGGGTTTCTTTTCTTCCCACCCCCTCCTCCACCTTGCTCGTCACCAGTGGCACTTCAGTTGTCAGCCGGCCCACGACGACGACGCCGCCGACGCCGCCAGCCTCAGGGCTCTCCGGTCGCTGCGAGACGCGAGCTTGGCTTCGTTTTGTGCGCCGCGCAGCGATTTGCGCACGCGGGTGGCAGCGATGTCCATCGTGGCGAGATGAAGCTTCCTCCCCTCGTACTCGCCACAGCACCCTCGCCTCCAGATGAGCCACGGGCGGCTACGTACGGTGCGAAAGAAGTTCAACGTACATACCCCCCAGGTCACGCTCTTGTAAACGAGACTCCCAAATCGGTGCCCTTGAGAATTCGCCCTGGAGGAGGGGTGGGGTTGGGGTGGGTGTAAAACAACATTAACTTTGAACTCGCAACTTGACAACACTCGGGCGTGACGAAGGCAACGATGGTGCCCCCCCCCCTCTCGGCGAAGCGAAACATCTGCGAGGCGATGGTGCGAGACCGCCGCCGTCCCGAGTGGGGGGCACAGCGCGCTCGTCAGCCAAGGCGGCGTGGGGAAATTCCAAACTATTTTTTTGTTTTAAAAAACTTTCTTTGGTAATTTTACAAAATTTTGTATTTTTATTCCCATCTCTCGTCGTTCGCACTCTCTCCGAGAAACGAGTCTGCGCGGTACACGTTGACATTTTATTGTTTTTTTTATTGCTGGTAGAGTGACGCAGCTGCGTGTGTGTTTGTGTGTGGCCAAAGGAAACGCGAGTTTGTCGAGAGGGGAATCTGACGGCACAGCCATTGGGGGGCCGAGGGAGCGCGTTGAGTTCGGGGAGCCTCGCGATCGCTGTGAATGTGATTTCGGATTGGAGGTCTCCGCCCTCGCAGTTCTCCCCACTCTGTCGAGATGGCCAGAGTGTTGCGGAATTTTTGTTCACGTTTTAGGCATTACATACCTATAATTGGCCAATAGCACCTTCATTCATAGAGGACCGCAGAACTTGGGGGGAAATTTGGCACCGGCTCACCACC